CGGCACCAAGTTTCCTGAAGAAGTGGTTTCTATTGTCTGCGCTTCACTAAACCAGCGCGACTTCCAAGATGCGACATCTCGTGACCCCATTCTACCGAAAGTCATGGAGTACATCTCGTCAACGTGGCCAGCTGAAGACAAGCTGCCTCCAGGGTTCAAGCCCTACTTCGCAGTCCCAGAACAGCTGTCACAGGTGGACAGACTGCTGTTTAATGCCGAAAAGATCGTCGTGCCGACCAGCCTACGTGACCAGGTCATCAAGATAGCGCACGAAACACATCAAGGGATCACAAGAACCACAGGCCTCATCAAAGAACTCTACTGGTGGCCTCAAGTATCTCTCCACATCAAGCAATATGTCCAACATTGCATCATCTGTCAGTCTACGGACAAACCTGCGAAGACATTCCGAGCACCCTTACAGCCAGTCGATTTTCCATGTCGTCCTTGGACGAAGTTAGGTATGGACATTGTTGGTCCGTTCGAACGCGCTCCGCGCAACGAAGGTTTCTTTCTAATGCTTGTAGGGTACCACAGCAAGTGGCCAGAGGTCACGAGTGTCCACAACGTCACGACTGCGTCTGTGATAGACTTTCTGAAGTCTGTTTTCGCACGAGAGGGGTTGCCGGAAGAAATAGTCACCGACAACGGCCCCCAGTTCATCTCCAAGGAATTTACAGAATTCCTCAAGAGTCAGGGTATTCGTCATCTCAGGGCATCCCTGTACTATCCCCAAGCGAATGGAAAGGTGGAACGCTTCAACCGCGTCCTGAAGTCCACCATTCAGTTGGCTGTCGTACAACAACGCAACCTCCTACAGCCTCACGGAGTAGTTGGGAGTGTACCGTGCCACACGTCATGCTGCAACGGGAGAGACTCCTGTGTTTTTGTTTCACGGCAGAAACCATCGCAATCGTCTTCATCTTTCGGGGCGTCCAGTCCCCGACCCACAAGTCCCAAGGTCCATAGTCCAAGAAAGGCTTCCACAGACAATCAAGAAATACCAAGAACGCATGAAGATGTACTCGGACAGAAGGCGTGCTGTCAAGCGCCCGACATTCATTCCTGGACAGACAGTCAAGGTCAACAAACCTCGTCACAGAGGAAAGCTCCAGATGAAGTATGCTTCTCCTCAAAAGATCCAAGACCAAGTGGGTCCAGCTACATACAGGCTGGGCGATGGATCCACCTGGCATGCGTCCCAATTTGACGCATACAACTCTTCAACCTTCATCAACTAGAACATCTTGGTTCCGGAAAGATTTGTTCCCCCCGGACCCCCTCCTTCCCCTGTAGTTGTTCCGCCTGCAGTCCGGCCGGCTCCCCCAAAGCCGCCTGTTCCTGTTCTTGGTCCGGCCAGCACGGACACCAGCAATCCAGACCCCGAGGGTCCACAACCAGCCTCGAGCCCGAGTCCCGAGGCCCCTCCTCCTCTTCCTGATGGTCCCGTTCCAGCTGAAAGTCCCCTTCCCGAAGGCCTGCAGAGGTCGTGGAAACTTCTCCAGACAACAGCTGGTCAGAGGCCAGCTGGTCAGCCAGCCGCACAGAAACGGCTACTGAGGGTGCTACTTCGAGCACCTTCTGTGACAGTCCAACAGTGTTGGTGCCATCACCTGTGAGTGTGTCTTCAACACCACCAGTCACAACACAGCCTACATCTCCCAGACCGGAGCCTCCCGAGCCCCAAGATGTGGATGTATCAACGCCCCAGCATCAAGGTCGTCCGCAACGCTTATGCAGACTGCCAGAACGATTTAAAGATTACTTAGTGAACTGGTACGAAACCAGCCTCACTTTAAAGGAACTCTTAGATTAATTTTAAAGAGCATACACCCATCGGGCCCCTGCCCCTGGGTTGTTTCCCCCTGAATAAAGAGTACGTGTTTGGACCCTGACGCCGATCGACGTCTCCTCTCTTCCGGGCGTTCCCGCCCTTGGGCCCCGCCGGCGCTCGCCTCATCACTACGGCATGTAAGACCTCGTTTCTTTTGCAGGCCAGCGTAGGCCCTGCGCTCCCTTTTATTTTCACGGGTGACCGCTTTTAATGCAACATTTTGGCGACGAGTAATTACTACACCGGTGTTAGACAAACCGGACACACTCAACTTCGTTTCACCTGAGGATGCACCGTTGAGGAAGCTACGAGTCATCTGAACCTATCCAATGCCGTTTGATTGTCACTTGCCGTGCAGGAATGCCGGGGGGGGGGGGGGGGGGGGGGGCGCTTTCTATGGAGCGTTCAAATCTTTGAATTGGCTCCGTGGCGTCTACAAACACTAAATGAGCTAGGCTTAGAATATCGTCACTCTGCTCCCTAGTATTGTTGTGGGCACAGCCATCCTGGGGCTTGTGCAGAGCGGACGCAAATGCCGATCGTCGTGATTCAAAAGTGCGACTTCCTCAGCATCTGATTTGGTGTTAGGGAGCCTATGTAATATTGTTTTGCCTTGTTGCGAACTGTTTAAACATTTCTGGAGGATGAAAAGGCGTTTCCTGTGATTTCAGATAAAGCTTCAGATAACTGGCAACTATGGTTTTAAGCTCCGAGATAACTAAGTGTCGTTACTCTGAAGCGTAGCCTATTTAGTGGCACTAGCAGCGTCCTTTTGCGGTTTGGCAATCCTTCACAGTAGTGCGCCATCCCTCTCTTTGTCCATCTCTCGCTCCTTTAACTCTCTCCACCTGTGAATCTATGTGTGTGGGACAACGCGTAGTTTTTATGCTTTCGTTTTACCGCGAAGCTGTATATGGCTGGGTTCCATGCATTTTTGGTATCCATGTGCAGAATATAAATTGCATGTAAAAGCGCCCCATTGCATGGAAATGCATGTACACCCTGTCACCCCGATATTGTCACGAATGAAGGTGACGAGGGGACGAACAGTGAACTGAAAATGAAGGTTTAATCGACGAACTTCTGTCGAACAAAAATAGAGAACGAGTGTCGAGGCAGCAGAAAAGCGGGCAGCGTTTCGGCGGCATAACAAGCAAGCGAGAGCGAGACTGACTCGAAAAGGTCGCGGGCGGCTCCTTATCTAGAGTGCGTCACTATCTCGAAGATTCGGCAAAGAAGGCTCGAGCATCGCGCACTTGGGGCGAGAATGAACAGGCAATTTTGAGAACAAGAAAGTAGGAATAAATACAAAAGTTACGTCCGGAGCAAGAATAAACGCCAATCTTCTAGAAGTCCGTTACCGAGCGTTGCTTCCTCGGCCCTGCGCGGCAATATGGAGTTTGATAAGGATAATAATCATAATAATAATAATAATATTTTATTTCCATCACACTCGATAGCGGCAACCAAGGGAAAAAGCTGCATACACAGCTTAGAAAGGTAAAAAACACAGGCGAGCTGGTGAATGGTATCCTACGTGGGACAGACTGGTCGTTGTATAAATGATCGTTTATTAGAGCACAAAAGGGCAGTTCAAAATAATGCACCGAACTCTGAAATTGCTAAACTTGTAGGCGAGTGTAACAACTGTGTACCAGAGTGGGAGGGTACAGAAGTCGTACATAGAGAAAAAAATAGCCATACGAGAGTGTTAAAGGAAACTTTACGTATTTTAAGCTTCGGAAACTGTATTAGTCAACCTTCATTAGCTCTTGATAAGGGAACAAAAAGGTTTCTAGGTTTATAATTTTTTTTTTTTTTTTAAGTGCTGGGTCATTTGTTTTGTAATTCGGATTCTTCTCTTCCTTTTTTTTTTTCGGGCAACTTTGTTTTTTTTTTTTGTTGTTAGGGGAACAAAAGAGTTTCTGAGTGATGTTTGGTTCGGTCTGACCTTGTCAAGTGCGGAAGTTCCTGCTTTCCCTTTTCGAGTTAGCGTCCCTTTGTGTTTTGGGCGTGTTTGCTTTGTGTGCGTTGTTCGGTTTATGTTGAGGGTGAGGGTACTGTGTAAAGTGGGCGAGGAGGTCTTTTGAACTGTTTTGGAGGTCGGTGACGTGTATATAATACGATGGTTGTTAAATAAATATTCAAGCTGTGTTAGAGACTTCGTTGTACTGTCCGTTTTTTTATTTTTCCTTCGTCTCAGGTTTATTATGGATACACAGCTTGACGAGCCCTTAAAGGGGTACTCCACCGATTTTTTGAGCTACCTCAACTAACTATATTTTCTGGCTCCCCTGCCTTTACTCTCTCCGGTATGCTATTTAGAATCGCGAAATTCATTACAGGTATTGTGAAATCGGCAAATGAAAATGATGCAAAAACCAACATTCAAATACACGCGCACTTTTCAGTGCCGTGACGTCAGTGGCAGGCAGGCTTGCCAGTCGAGCAAGCAGCCAAAAAATAGAATATGCAAATCATTTGTTCCGTGCTGGAGCGCGGGTACTGCAGCGAGCTTCACAAGCATTCATTTGACACCATGAAACTGCTTCGAATCAGTTTAAAACTAAATCTACAGCCCAAAGAGTGAACCCCTGCCTTCCACTGACGTCACTTTTTCATTGTTGCCAGTAGAGACTTCGAGCTTGAAAAACACGGTGAGGACCAAAACTGTAAATTCAATAACTTCGCAAAAAAAACAATATTTTGACCTAATATTTGGGATACTATTTTCACGATGTTTTTTGGTTAGTTTAGCAAAATTTCAAGCAAATCGGAGAGAATGAAAAAACCAGTGGAGTACCCCTTTAACCGCCTACAGTGCACGGCGACGGAACACAACAGGAAAAACGAAAAACAAAAAAAAAACAAAAAAAACATACATACACACAGAGGTTGCAACACGCAAAAATTCACCGTGGCAGATAAAGGAATATAATCAAATACGAGAACAGTGTTTTAACTAGGTATCATGACCACCCATAATATATAATGAACGGATTTCCCCTATTGACATTTTATTCCAGTCCAAGTTTTTCGATTCGTAAAGATTTAGTAAATTAGGAATATTGTGCCTCAGCATTTGAGCGCCATAATTTGTTCTTGGCGTGACCACCCCCCAACATTCAGCGGCACGGGTAGGATAAGTAATCATATTTTTTGAGAGGCGGCCAAGGGTTACTAGAAAGTTTGTGTTCCTAATTAGCTCTATCTTAAGGCTTGCACTGAGCCTGTAAGAATACAAAGTGTGCACATTGATAATGCGGAACTTTTTGAATAGGTCGGATGTATGCGATTGAAATGGGACATCGGCTATGGCTCTTATTACTCTTTTTTTTTTTTGTAACAAATGTATCCTTTCAAGATTCGTTGAAATAGTGGTACCCCAAACTAAATTACAATAATTTAAGTGCGAGTCGAACAAGGAATTATAAACTAGTACCTTGACCTGTATCGGTAAGGTATAACGATGGCGGTTTAACATGCCGACCGTTCTAGACAGCTTTGTAATAAGGTAGTTAACATGTTCATCCCACGACATATTATCCGAAAAAATGACGCCTAGAATTTTGAAGGAATTTACAATCTCAATCTTGGTTTAGTCTAAACTAAGATCTCTCGTAGTGTTAATTATTTTATAGACGTCAAAACCTGATAAGGGAGACACATCCGAGAACTATGGGCTTCCTCATTCTCGAGTCAGGCGTCGTCACTGCTTTACATATATAAAAGCAGCAGCATTTATATATGCAAACCATTTTATGTATATATTTAACTTTAGCAAATAATCTCACCAAAGTTGTAATGGAACCCAATAGTGTATATCATGGTGTTTAAAAAGCAATCATCAGTACCGTTTCACAATGATGTATATATGCTGTAAAGTAAATATTTCGTAAAGTGATTTTGTGTTTCTTTTGGTGAATCATGCGTGGTGGTGCTCTACAGTTTCGCTCGCCAGCCACCTTCACAAATTGGAATGGCTCACAATTTTTTTCTCTTTCGCACTCTTTCGCGCAATACATAGCGTGCCCGAAGAACCAAGTGCAAGAAAAGGATAAAACTCACCACTCCAATTTTATTTTGACCCAGAAGAGCGGCGCCTTTCTCTCAAAAGAGCACATACGTCCTCAGACATACCAAAAATATTGATTGATTACGGTGTAAGTGAAACAAATAGAAAAGATAAACTATTTCAGATTATTATGATAATAAATCGTTTTTTATCTTGTTTTATTTTATTTTTATATGAAATGTCTCATTTAAATCAACAGCACAACCTGCACGACTTATTAAACTGGTTATACTGATACATCAGGATCTACATTTTTTCCCCACTATGCCTGAAAGGCCATTCAGCACTAGCAAACAATAAACCGAGACAGCTGTAAAAGTGTACAGTGAATTAAACAGTGCGAGTTTGAGGGACAGGTAATAAGCTAATTTTAATTTTAGCAGAGTAATGTCCTCCTATTTTAAATTTATTGTTCGTCAGCAGGCTTTCAATATACTGTAAAACCCTTTATTTTCGCGGCCCCTATTTTTCGCGAATCGGTCACAGATGGCATAATCGCGACCACTAAATTTCGAGAATTCCAGACGCCTGCATTGAAAACCTTAAGGACCGAAATTTTCGCGCGCCCTTAAATTTCGCAAATTCTTCAATTCGCGAAATTCGCGAAAATTGAGGGCTCGCGAACAATAAGGGCTTTACAGTATGACCTCAAAGGACATGTGCAGTGAGTCATTATCAACAAACCGGCGGCGTTCTAGACTCTCCAGGGTCAAGGAAGCCAAGTATACTAAACCTCTGTAGGAATTTCCGTCTGGCCTCCGCAATTTCTCAGAATTCCCTCGACGCAAAGAGCTTGAGGAGAACCGATTCATCTCATTGTCCAAGCGGCGAGTGACACCGACGTAAACTTGTTTACTGAACGGCCATTTAAGGCTTGAATCGTAGGCTCCAAGATATAATCTTAAATAAAAATGACAAACAAAGTCATTGAAAGTCTTTTCAAGATTGCATACGATGGACACGTTGTATCCCGTCAAATAGCGCCTGGGGCTCTCAGTTACCACCAAACAACCGTCGCTTGCTTCTATCTTCATAGCTTCGAGTCCCTTTAAGTGCCAGTAGAATTCCTTTTCATGGTGATTAGGAGGTGGTCCTTGGCACGTGCTCTCTGTGGCGTTCAGCGGGCGTTCGGCGTCTGCGCCGAAGTTTCCGGCCTGACAGCCCTTCTCCACTTTACCAGCGACGTCCCTCAATCCGCCTTCTGCAAGAGAAGGTCCCTCGATGTGCAATCTGGACAAGTGTTCAAGTGTCGCAGACTGAGCTTCCTGTTGTTCTTTCGAACTCTTTTCTGCTTTTCTGACGTCCTCCCGGCACTGGTTCAGGCTGGTGTGCAGACAGGACAGGTCTTCAGAGAGCTTGCCCAACGCTTCTTTGATTTCATTACTTGCCTGCTCGATGCTGTCGTATCCCTGTACGGCACGGTCTGCGTCCACTGCGGGCCCAACGGCGGGCACTTGGCAACCATGTTTGCAGTGTCCCACAATCTCGTTCCTCAGTACGGACACTTCGCAACGAGGACAGGACACCACGTGGAAAGCGCACTCGATGTTGTGCTTTAAGAGACTGCAAATGGGACCCTCGAAGTTGCAGCCATTAGACTTGTTCCAGCAGGCCGCCTTCGTGAGACCAAAAAAACATCGAAAACTCGAGTTACATGAGGTCGTACCAAGAAACTACAAACACTATAATATAACTGTTTAAGTCGAAAAATATTAATGACACTTAAACCTGGTTTAAGTACCATAATAGTGGCACTTAAACCTTTCTACTTCTAGATCCTCCTTACTGTACTCACAGTGTAATGTGCCATTACTTCGCGAGTTCTTGAGGACGGTCGTAGTGCCACGCACTGCTACATATTCTAAATCTCGAATCCATGGAAATGCATGGTCAACGTCAAGACTTAAAGGGGCACTGACACCCCAAAGGTCGTATTTTTTTTTATTGTCTAAAACGATGCAAGTTGCAGTCATAGACACGCAAAAAAACCGCAACGCGGTTTTTTTTTATATTGGTATGTTCGATTTGATGGTGCTTTTTTGAACACATATAGACCAAAAAATGAGCGCCGAAATTTCGTTGTAGTATCCCTTTAAAGGACCCATGAAACGATTTTTGGGTTGGGATAAATCATTTTAGATTGGGATTTTACTAATAGCACATCGTTCAGTGGACCAAAAGAAAAAAGGTAGAAAGTCAAAAGCCTGACTTTCAGTGCGAAAATTTGAAAACAGAGCGGACTATTTCGTACCTCCTCCCCTTCGCAACCTCTCTGCCTTTTCACTGTGATACATCCGCGGTCCCAAAAGCGCGTTATCGGGTCCAAACTGACGTCACACGCAACCGGACGTCACTTATTCCCTTCACCCCAAAGCTGACATTGTGGTGGAAGCTACGCGCTTGCCGGACCAATCAGCCGCCTCCCTTTCATCACCTGACTTCATTCTCTGCAGCCACATTTGCCACGCTCACGTGACAAGTATGGCTGGCCCAACGAGCACGTAGCTTCAACAGCACTGTCAGCTTCGGAATGAACGGGGTGGGGAAAGCAACTTTTGTCTGAATTTTGAGCGACGGGCTAATCTTCTAGGGGGAGAATGGATGTGTCCGGGATTACACAAACGAGAGTGCGAGCAAGAGGGGACTCCCCCTTTTCGTCTTCTTTAACTGTTTGGTGGAATGTGCGATTTATGAGTTGAGGAGGAAAACGAAACAGGAAAAAGTTGGAAAGGCGTTTCATGACCCCTTTAAGACAAAGCAACCGAAGTATACCTTACCGGTCATGCTGTTTTTGGTGTTTTTTCTTTACTTTTGATAACTACTATAAGGAAATTATTTAAATGTTTTCTATCACCGTTCGGTTCTAGAGATATGCAATGTTCGGACGTTTGAGCTGTCTTATCCTGTAGTTAAAGGTGCCCTCCGGAGCTTTCTGCGATCGTCTGTTTATGTTGTTATATTGCGTAGTAGGTGCAAGTTAATATGTATACAAAGTTTTAGAGTACAAAACCGTTTATTAAGTAAATGGCAGTAGAAATATATCGTTACTATTTTCTCTTGAAAGACAATCGCCCATTCCCTGGCCATCGCTAAAACTTGACCAATGGAAATGCTGCATTTCGCGGTGAATGCGAACGTTATTATTGCAATACTTTTTAAGCTTGTTGTAAATTAGAGTTTGAGAAAAACGTAAACTGATTGTGGTGCGGGAAACATAGTTTGCAATTATCGTTCCAAAGCCAGCGAACTATGTTTTCTCCCCGCAAGCTTGTTGCTAGGGGGTGATGCGTCGGCGCGTCGGGTCGTCTGCTTCCCGGGGCGTGTGCAAGCGTGCGTTTGCGACACACGTGTTCCTTCTTCCCGTGGATCGCGACTCCGAAGCCAGCTTTGCGATCCTTCCACGTGAATGAGTCAAACTTTTCCTTGTCATCTGTGGAATGCGACTGCGTATTGCAGTAGTTTCTTTTATCCTTTGAGTGAGCGATTTCCCTGAAATGCCGAACGTTTGTTTCGTCAAGACGTGCCGCCATCAAACTGGGAAGAACGTTCGCAAGGGCTTGCGATTCTTCTCTTTGCCGCAGAAAGAACCACGAAGGACTGCGTGCTTACGCTGCGCCGGGCGAGGGCACGACATTGAGAACCTGCCTCTCATTCCCCGTTTTTGTGCCGAACATTTCGAGCCGACTGCTTTCCGAAAGGACGACCTGCGTCGTTCCCGTCTTCGATCAGATGCTGTGCCGACGCTTCTGCTTCCCGTCGCCGATGAGACCGACGATCCTCCCCCAAAGCGCCAAAAAGTCGTGGTGAGTTTTTCGATGGCTCAAATATTTTTGGGAGTGTCACGAACATGGCATTCTGCGTTGCGCAGTGCGGCTGCTTCTGGTATCTATATTCTGAACTAAGAACTGAGGAGGCATTTGTGTAACATGGGAATCCACATGGCATTCGTCAAGTCGATCAGTGGTGCCTAATGTTCCGGACTAGCGGTTCGAGAGCTTATCGCGCCAATGGTGCGGTGCATGGGGTTTTCATTTTCGGGTTTTATATTTTTCAAAAATCGGGGGGGAAAAAATCGGGCGCTATTTTTCCGGGTGATAATCGGGAAGAAATCGGGTTTTTCCAGAAACCATTCCGAAATTCGGATTTTTTTTCGGGATTTCTTTATCAATTACAAATACGTGCAATGTGTTATTTACATGAACAAAAGTAAACAAAATATATTATATAGGCATAGGATATGTTTCTACCTTCTGATCGGCTCTGAAGTGAATCTTTGCGGAGGTCACGCAAATCGAAGAAAATTGTAACCATCAACTGATGACCAAGGAATTAAACAGATCCAGAATGGTTCATATTTTCTATCAAGGCAGGTGATTTCAACACTGCTTTTCGGGGAGAAATCGGGTTTAACCCGATTTTCATCAGAACTATTCGGGGGAGAAAAATTAGGTATTATCGGGTTTTACCCGAAAACGAAGAACCCTATCAGCATGCACCATCTGCAGGATCGAACTCATTTGTAAAAAGAAAACACGAACAAATAAGATAAAAGGACAGAGTCATAAATCGCCTCTAATGGTACCACCATCACCACCCCCCTCTGCTATTGACCCACCCAAAGTCAATACATGTTTTCCCAGCTTGTTTACAGACAGGAACCCTTTCGTATCAGCTTAGCAAAGTTCCAAGTGTCCGTGACTACTAACAAGCAGGTTTTCTTTTATATCTACTCTTGTGAGCAAACTCAGTTTTTTTTTTTTCTTCTCACAATCCTGCACCCACGATTGCGTGCAAACCCGCGTTTGCAAATTTGTATGCACATAGCAAATGCACGCCATGATTTTGTTGCTTGGTGGCACTTCTGGACACTGAGAACTCATGGCAGTTGCTGTATGTTTCCCACTTGCGGCTATAAGTGCTCGTTGGTTGCATTTCCTTCAGTGGTTGGTAAATACATGTCAAGCTGCAGCTTTACGTATGTATGTAATGTGACATCATATCGCGACATGAACATTTATTGTTGCTGAGCTAGAGACTGAAAATATAGATGGTGATGTAAGTTATAAAAACAAATATAAAGAGTGAGGCATCCCTTAGATTTGTATTACAGTGAGAGCTTTGGTTGAGTGCATGAAATTCTAAGCTATGGAAAGGCTACAAAACAATTCATGGATGTTTGCCATCAGCTAAAAAACTAGGCATCAAGGATGTTTGCCGCGGTGACGGCATTGTGTGGAGTGCTCGAGTTGCACCCTTTAATTTTAAAAATATGAAATGTGTAATAAACAGTGCCCTTTGCAGACTCAGGCCTCGGCAACTGGACTGCCTGCACCCTGCGAGGCAGAAATGACCCTCAGGGACTGTACTGCTGAAAGAAACATCCCTGCAGTGGTGCCACCTGTCCCTGTCGCAGACGTGCCTGCACAGTCGCATCCACCCGAGTCTGCCTTCTCCACTTGTAGCAGTGGGGTGCCATATGAATGCACATCTCCTGTTCCCAGCAACATGCCAGACTCTGACGCAACCTACTCTCCGTCTCACAGCGAGGATTACGAGAGGTAAGTTGTGCATATAAACACATAGAATCTGTAAAGAATGCTTCACATGATCCCATTTCAGAATCGAGCATGGTGCATCAGCTCCACCACCACCACCAGAAGAAGAGCGCCAGTTTCTGGTGTTCGAGAGCTGCCTAAGGGAGCTTTTCAAGACGTGCCAAGAGTGCTCAAGACTGTGCCAAACAACGATCGAAACTACCGGCACACTGATCACAGTCTACAGCATCTGCCCTGTGGAGCACATGCGCACATGGAAAAGCCAGCCCATCGTCAACGGCAGACCAGCAGGGAACATACTGCTGACCAGCCACCTGGTCTTCTCTGGAGTGAAGATTGCCCCTACGCTGCGGATGCTACGCCATATGAACGTGCAGGTCATCTCCGACTCGAGCTTCTACGAGCATCGGAAGGCCTTCGCTCTACCTGCAATCCACAAGGTGAGCAATATTCCGGGACACTGCAACTGCATTTTTTTCCCATATACCCAATTTTCCAATGAGGTACAAAACTGGAGCCCCAGTCACACTTCGGTTAAATGAATAAATATCTTCTTGTAGTATGCCACTTCAATGGTATAGTGCTAAGAGATAAAATTTTATACATCATGTTACATATGTGCCATGGGCTACTAAATCCACGATACTTTAATTTATTTCTGCTATGTGTAGTATCCTGGGGCAGTTCCCTGTCTGGCATTGGGTTGAGTGAGTCAGGTTCCCCGTGAGAGTCAAGAGACAGAGGGTGGTTGTCAGAATGGAAAAGGGTAGGGCAGCTTCGAGGTAACGGGCGGCCTGCTGCCTCTTTTATGAAATACACAAACATAAAAACACAAATCACAACCTAGCACAATCTAAGTCACATTCAAACTCGCTGCATTGTGCTTTCCTTTTTCTTTCACTCAGTCATTCATTCTACAACACTACACTATGCATACATAAACAGATGGGACTATTGTAGTATGCTCCATGCCTTTCTAAAGCAATATTTATCTGCATGAACAGGTCTGGCTGCAAGAGCAACAAGAACTTCTCAACGAGTTGCAGAACAAAGAGGTGGAC